AGAAATGAAAAAGAAAGAAAGAAAGAAAGAATGAAAGAAAGAAAGAAAGAAAGAAAGGAAGGAAGGGAGAACGAAAGAAATGAAGAAAGGATGGACGGAAGAAAGGATGAAAGGAAGAATAAAAGGAAGAAAAGAAGAAAGAAAGAAAGAAAGAAAGGTAGGAAGGAAAGACGGAATAAAGAAAGGTAAGAAGGAAGGTGGGAAGGAAAGAAGGAAGAAAGAGAGGAAGGAAGAAAGAAAATAAGGGAGGAAGGAAGGGAGGGAGGAAGGAAGAAAGAAAGAAAGAATTGAATTAAGACACGAAAGAAGGAAGAAAGAAAGAAAGAAGGGAAGGTAGAACGGAATAAAGAAAGGTAAAAAGGAAGGAGAAAGAAAGAAAGAAAGAAAGAAAGGAAGGAAGACACGAAGGAAGGAAGGAAGAAATGAAAAAGAAAGAAAGAAAGAAAGGATGGAAAGAAAAAGAAAGGGAAAAAGAATGGAAGGAAGGAAGGTAGGTAGGAAGGAAGGAAAAAGAAGAATGACATTCAGAAGTGATGGAAGAAAATACCAAATGCCAGAGAAAGATGTGGATCAATTGTAAGAAGACAGGACGTAAGGTTCTCAGTAAAAGAATCAACCAAATGTGCGAACTGCAGATAGGAGGCGCCAAAAGTACAAACATTTTAAAATCGTCGAAATGTTTTAACATCGGACGGAAAATGCGAGACCGAAATTCGAAGACGCATTGAAAAAGCGAAAGACGTCTTCCAAAAACTAAGCAAAATATTAAAAAACAAGAAAATATCGTTAGGAACAAATAAAAGTGTACGAATATTTTAGGTGATATAGGTTCAACTATGTGACAGTAAATGAAGAGACTTGACGCAACAAAATGGGATGCTGAGAATACCACAGAGTAAACATGAGAGAAAGGAGGAAGTCTTAGAGAAAGTGGAAACAAAATGGGTACTTCTATTTAAAATCAGAAAGAGGTACTTGAAATTTCTAGGGAACGTAATGAGGAAAGAAGACTTGGGAAAATCGATATCCGCAGAACAGACTGAAGGCAAGAGGGACAGTAAAAAACGACTTTGAGCAAATGGATGACAGAACAGAGTTTAGGAAAACTAGCAGAAAAACAAAATTTATAAAGAGCTACAAAGGGGCAAGACGTTGTGGAGAGACATGACCTGAAGCGACACAGTACATAGAAGAAAAAGAAGAAGAGGAAGAGAAGAAAACTTTTAGATCAGTGAAAAACAAAAAAGACACTTCTATTTAAAGTCAGAAAGTGATGCTTAAAATGCCAGAAATAGATACTTAAATTGTCTACGTTACATGATGAGGAAAGACGGCATAGAGAATTTGGTACTCACATGATGTATTGAAGGCAAGAGGAACAGAGAAAATCAGTGAATAATTTTTTTACCTAAGTCGCGTGTGTAACTGATTGTCAGAAGGGGAATTAGGAAAGAAAACTAAACGACAAAAAATGCTAAGAGCTACAACGGAGAGGAAGTTGTGGTGAAGGATATATACCTATGTCATGAACAGCAGACACGACATATAAAAGTTGTAAAAACCGACTTGTAGGTTAAATGAATGAAGTTAAAACGGTTTCTTCGGTACATATGTAAATATCACATTTTCTCGGTTTCACTAAAATTAAATTTAGAATTTGGGGTGCTGACAGTTTTTCAGCACCCTTTCTTATATCTGACGTTAAGTAGGACAAACGAGAGAAAGGATGTACAAAACAGAAGCAAAAACCATGACAGAGGGTTAGTACGACCCACGCTGATGTCGATGAGCGTCGAAATTATTCGTTAGCGAGCAGATTTCCGTGCAAACAGAACTTCGCCCGTATTTTGAGCGACGCATGCGCATTGTGTCACAGCGATCTTACCCGGAGCCTTTTGCAGTCGGGTGACGAAGAAAGATTTAAGAAACCTTTTCTTTTATCGAATAAGCGAGCGCGGATCACAGCGATGCTAACAGGAAGGGTAGCCGGGGGCGAGGCAGCTTGACAATCTGAGCCTGAGTTCACGGAGATGTGAGCGCGGATAACCCGAAGGATTCAGGCAGGAGAATGAGACACAAATGCTTTTGGAAGAGAGCATTTGATAAGGTAAATTCCCCCGACGGAACAATTTACGAAGAAAAGGGAAGAGATGTGGGAGGTCAGGAAAAAGAATAAAAAAAAAAGTAAACATGGGAAAGAAAGAGTGGCAGCGAGTTATATAAAGAAATGAATAAAGGGAAGATAAAATAATAAAAAAGAAAGAAAGAATGAGGAGGCAAAAAAGAAAAAGAAAAGAAAAAACTAAGAGAGAAAAAGACAAAGTGTAGTAATAAATGCGATGGAAGGAAAAAAGAAAAAGAAGAAAGAAAAGAGAGATTGGGAGAATGCCGAAGGAAGAGGGGAGAATTAAAAAAAAAAGAAAAGGATAGAAAAAAAGAAGATATATGATAAATAATAATAATAATAAGGAAAAAGAAAAAAAGGAAAAAAGTAGGGTAGTCAAAGAGAGAAAAGGAGGGAGAATGTTGAATAAGAAATGGTTGGGAGAAAGAAAGAAAAAAGTGAGAACGATAAAGTAGGAAGAAGAGAAACAACGATAGAAAAACTGAAAGAAAAAGAAGACGCTGAAAGAGAAAAGAGAAAGACAAAAAAGAAAGACGAGTGTCGAGTTAAAGATGGATTTCAAAAACAAAACGAGAAAAAGAGGGAAGAAAAAGGACGAACACGATTGAAAGAAGGAAAAGAAAAGGAAAGGGAGAGAGAGAGAGAGAGAGAGAGAGAGAGGGGGGAAAGAAAGAAAGCGAGAGAGAGAGAGAGAGAGAAGCTGATAAGAGAAAAACTGACAAAAATGTTTGGAGAGACGAGAAGAAAACAGGAAGAAAAGTGAGAAAAAAAAAGAAAAGAGATTTAAAGACAACATAAAAATCAAAATCGAAAAGCAGCGGCTAAAAATAAACAAGAAAAGAAAGCAAGTAACTAAAACAAAAAAAAGATGTTCAAAAGAAAAGGAAAGAAAGAAAGAATGAATGAATGAAAGAGTACGGGAGAAAAAAATAGAAGAAAAAAAACCCGAAAATAAATAAAGAAAGAAAAAAAATGAAAGAAAGAAAAGAACATGGCGTACATTCAAGGAAGAAATCGAAAAGTAGATGATTGAAAAGAAAGAAGGAAAGAAGAAAGAAAGAATAAACGAAATAAAGAAAGAAGAAGCAAGGAAAAAAGAGGAAAAGATTGAATGAGAGAAAGAATTAAAGATGAGAGAAAGACAAACATTTCAGGGAAAGCATAAAAACAAAGATCGAAAACAAAAAAGAAAGAATGAAAAATAAAGAATAAAAAAAGAGGTCGAAAAAAGAAAGAAAGATTGAATGAACGAATGAATTAAAAAAGAAAGAAAGTAAAAGCAGTGAAGAAAAAACAGAACGAAATCAGCTGTTGTTGGGCAGATTGAAATGAAAGAAAGAAAGAAAGAAAGAAAGAAAGAAAGGAAGGAAGGAAGGAAGGAAGGAAGGAAGGAAAGAAAGAAGGAAAGAAAGAAGGGACGAAAGGTAAAAGAAAGAAACAAAAATGGAAGAAAGCGAGAACGAAAGAAATAAAGAAAGGAATGATGGAAGAAAGGATGAAGGAAGGAAGAAATAAATGAAGAAAGAAAGAAAGAAAGAAAGAAGGAAAGAAGGAAGGAAGGAAGGAAAAAATGGAAGGAAGGAAGGAAGGAGGGAAAGAAAGAAAGAAGGGAGGAAAGAAAGAAAGAAAGGAAGGAAAGAAAGAAAGGAAGGAAAGAAGGGAGGAAAAGTAAAAGAAAAAAACAGAAAAAGGAAGAAAGCGAGAACGAAAGAAATAAAAAGAGGAATGACGGAAGAAAGGATGAAGGAAGGGAGAAATAAATAAATAAATAAATGAAGAAAGAAAGAAAGAAAGAAAGAAGGAATGAAAGAAGGAAAAGTAAGAGGAAATAAAAGGGATGGTTCCAAGCAAGTAAAGATAAATAATGATAGAAAAAGAAATGAATAGCAAAGACAAGAATGAAAAAAAAAAATCAACGAAAAAGAAGAGAGAAAATATAAAAAAATAAAAAAAAAATAAAGAGGTACCGTGAATTCTTTCCGTGAGAAAGAATTAGAAAGCTAAACAAAACAAGAATAAGGTAAGAGAAAAAGTATAAATTAATGAAAGATAGAAAGAAGAGAAGAAGAAAATATAGAAGCCATGAGAGGAAAAATAAAGAAAAACGATGAAAAAGAAAGAGAAGAATTAAAACGATCGGAAATAATGAAAAGTGAAAAACAAAATGGAAGAAAGAAAAGTGAACGAGTGAGAATGAATAGAAAGAAAAAAAAAAAACATTAAAAATAATGATCTAAAGAAAAAAAGAGAAAGACGGAGTCGCCATATAAAGAATGTGGAGAGACATGGATAGAGAAAGAGTGAGCGACAAAGTTGGAATAAAAAAAGAAAAAGATAAAAAAAAAACGATAAAAAAGAAGAAAGGTGAACGTGAAAGAGAAAGAATGATACAAATGAGGAACGAGAAAGAAAGACTAAAGAAAAAAACAAAAGTTGTAGACAAGAGGAAGAAATAAAAAGAAAATAAAGAAAAAGGAAAGGGTAATAAAAACGGATTGCAATTGGAATGAAAAAAGAGGATGAAGAAGAAAAAAAAAAGCAAAAGCAAAAACGAAAACGAAGGGAGGAGGAGAGAAGGCGAAAATAAAGAAAGAGAAACAAAACAAAAAAGAAGAGAAAAAAGTCAAGGTAAAAAACAAAGGTTAAAAAGAAAGTGAAGGAAAGGAAAGGGAAAGAAGAAAAAAGGAAACGAGGAAAAAAGAGGAAAAAAGCAGTAATGAGTAAGGAAGGGAGAGGAGAGGAGAGGAGATAGAGAGAGAGAGAGAAGGAGAGAGAGAGAGAGGTATGTGTATGAATGAATGACGGGAAAAGGAATAAAAGGAAAATGAAAAATTAAAAAGAAAAAAAGGAAAGAAACAGAAAAATATGATTGAGA